CATTAGTCATTGTACCTTTTGTAAGGTATTACATCTTCTTGATTAAAATGTTGAATTGAATTCCTCTCTTAGAAATATTTAATTACTATTTTTAGCCATGCTGGCAGCGTGGCTAAAAATGGCAGTTTTGGCTGGTTGGTCCACCACTTTGGTCAACTTTGTATGGATTGCCTTCAAATTTTCTTATTCAGTGAACTATTTCAAGATCCACGAGGTGGACAGGCACAAAAGTAATCATCAGGTGTATATTTGTCCAATATTTCGGTTTATGACCTAATACCTGCAAAACTAATGACATGCCCATCAATCTCAGCTGAACTTTTTGTTTAGTGCTTATTCGAAAATGTTTGCATGCTAACATGCAAAACTTCGATGGTGAACATAGTAAACATTATACCTGCTTAACAAGCCAAATGGGATTCCCTGGTAGTCCAGTGATTAAGACACATACTAGTCCAAATGTTTTTCGCTGTGTTACAACTGCAAAGACCAACATGCAGCTGTCGTGTTGTTGCCGTGAGTCTCTTTCGGATTGTACCACAAATATAAAACAGATTCATTCTTCAGCTGTGCGAAAGTACAACCTTAGCAACTCTTGCCTGAAAGAAACAGAGCTTGGGGCTTGGTTAAAACCAGTTGCAATTAGCATATTTAAAGCATCCTTGTCGCTACTTAATGAATGAGCGCCGCTACTAAAATTACACACGATCATTAATGATTTTCAGTAAGCTATGGTAACACTTGAATAGCTGTCTCCCTATCCTCATTCTTCAAGAACAAGCAAATGTGAGAGAGAGAGCAGCAGAAAGTGACAGTGAAAGTTAACAGAGGATAAGATCAGCATTAAGTTGTCAGGTTACAGCTCTGTCCTGTACTGTACATCTTGATAGTTAAATTAAATTAAAAAGAAAAGACCACAGAGGAGCTGAAGTTAGTAATGTTAAAGCAAAATAAGGATGCAAACTAGTCCTTTCAAGCTAATGAGGAGATTATTCTTTGGGAATTTGATGTACAAATGAAATGCTTTTAATTATAGAGGGGAGGTGGTTCTCATGTTGCCTGTAATGATTCTGAGGTAATATTAAAAGTGTTTTCCTGCCATTATAAGGAGGTAAGGCTCAAAACTGCTTAGTGCTGTGCCATGAATGTAGAATCAAAACTTACTAAATGACTTTTCCCAGATCTAATGGTTATAATTCAAACCCAGTAGACTTATTTAGCAAGTTTAGCTTTTGGGTGTAGTTTATTCTGCTCTAGATTTTCCTTTTTATTATTCACAGATGTGGCAATAACAATGTTCCAAAATTGTGTGGAATTTCTTTATTGGAAAACCACCAAAACCCCAACACAAAAATAGCATCTTAATTTTTTACATTATACCGCCCTGTGACAGCATGTTTTAATCCCTATGGACATTATTTTTTATTGTTATTTGTAAATGTACCTGCTTTGCACCTGCCTCAACTCTTCTTCTCCCTGCAATCACTCACACACACCTTTACCTCTAATCTCTCACTGCAAACACACTGGCTTTCCCCGCCTCTCTCTGTCTCTCTCTCCCTGTCTGCTCCCCTGAGATTCTCCATCAGCAGTAGGTTATGTTTTATAAAGTCGCCGAAAAGACACTGACCTTTTTCACGGCAGCAGGTGCACCGCATGACAGCTTGTTAATTACGTAGCTTATCAATGTCATTGTCCATCCCTGTGTTTCATTGTTGATATTGTCAAATGGCAGTTTTGTAGACATCACTCAACCCTAATTTGAATACATTTATTTACTCTGCAAGTAATCTTCTTACTGCTCCTTTGTATGTTTCTTTTTTTTGATGTCATGATATAGTTCTTAAATTTCATTCATAGTGGCCTTAAAAAGGTCTTTAAAAGTCTTAAATTTGACTAGGTGAAACCTGCAGAAACCCTGCAGTAAAAAAATTAAAAGCTGATGTTACGTATTTGTTTTATTTGGACATTTCTTTAAAAGATGAATGTGACATTCACTGAAAAGTTACTCTACTGTGAAAACCAAAGAGTTATCTGCACACGGAATAGTTTTGAAGCCCTGTAGGAGGTGTCATTTATTGAAAACTTTGAGAAGGTCTTGTGTGGCTTACATTGTATAGATGTACACCTGTTTACCACAGGTGCATTTGATCAGCTCTAAATTATCGATACCACCTAGTTGGATTCATTATCACTCTATTCGGGTCATTCTTTGTTTCATCACCCAGCCACAGGTTGGTTTGGATGTGTGCACATTCTTCTGTGTTTAAACTAGACCAAAAAACAGAGCAGCAAACAAGGCACTCTTCAAAAACTATTCAGGCTCTGGTACCGAAGACTCCTTATTTATCTTTGTATAAGGTAGAAAGTTAAAATACTCCTGCACACACAGAAGTACACTGCATAATAACTTTTCAACATTTCATGTGAAGCATGAAACATTTTTGGGAGCATTTTAAATTTACCACTTCTACTAGACTTAACTCTTTGCAAGAGTTCAGCTTTAATGTTTGATATTATTGTAACATTAACTTGAACTGACTGAGAATGTGAAATGTAACATTTTCTGTCTGTAGTAAAGACAAAATTAGTGCAAATATATAGAGAATTTATTGCAATGTGAACCATAATTGATATATTGTGTTCATAAAAAACACATATGGACAACATTTAAAACTAAATGTAAAAGTAAACAGAAGGGGAGAAGGCCTTTCCACATCAGATACAGACGTCCAGCACACTGCGTTACAGGTCTCTGAAGCTGTCTGGCACCAGATATGACTTCTGATCCACACTGTGACTATGGAAGGAAAATAAATGAGTAATAAATGTTGCAGGTAGTTAATGTAAAATATAAAGTTAACTATAAAAGATGTCTCAGTTTGGTTGATAGTGCTACTATGTCACGTATTTGAGAGAAAATGCAACAAGGGCAAGCAACACCTCAATATACATATATGACAGTCAATAACATTAGTCAACGATATGTTTTCATGTTGTCCTTTGAAGACAGACAAAGTAATATCAGCTGTCAAATATCCAGTAGCCATAACAATAAATGCTGATTCATGGTAATGTTAACTTCAGTCTCCACATAATCAAGCATTTTAAACCTTGTCTAGTATAACCTAAATACCAGAGAAATGGTTACTTTAAGTGTTGTTGTATAGTTTCAGGTTAACTTACTTTCAGGATAAGCTGGTAACAATGCACTATTTTCTGCTATTTCTGCTAACGCCAAATAGCATTTAGCATTAGCTCCTTAGCCTGAGCTAACTCAGTCACGTCGAGCTTTGGTTTCATCAACCAGTCACCTGAGCTCCACCCACGACCCGTCTCTGTATCCATTTTTGTCCGGGAGTGACACACATTGACGCGATGCCAAGATGGCGACAACCATCACTCAGACGTCACGCACACTATGTACATTGTTTAATACAGTTATACAATCTGAGTAACGGTTTAACATTTTAAAGCAAATCAAGAAACATCTGGCTCGTGATGTGGCCTACAGAACATTCTCCCCTTATAAATTTATATTATATAGTTCCACAGCAAAAATCTTTGTTAAAAAGTTAAACGTTTTAAAATTAAAACCTACTTGGCAATAAATAAGATTGTGAGCTTATTGTTTTGGGTGATAAAGCCTGGCTGTTACCTGGCTGAGCAGCCTCTATTTCTTGGTTTTGAGGTCTCATGGATGTTGCTGGCTAAGAGAACGCTCTTTTTGCGGTCTCTACCCTGTTTTGTCTATCCCGATGCCCCTGGCATTGATACTAATTTTCATTCTGAATAGTAAACCTTGTTCACTTAATGGTAACATTCGCTAGTTAGGCTGTGTGTTGGACATCAGTGATTCACTTGAAAGGTATTTAATTAGTTAAATGGTTTAATTAGGGTTAGGGGGTGACAAAAATAATCGTGACAAGTCGACTAATCGAATAAATAATTAACAGATTAGTCGACTATGAATAATAACTAATGAAAAAATCATTAGTTGCAGCCCTACTTCTGGCTATGGACCTTGGGTGCACGTCGTATGTCTCTTTCTTTCTTACTCCCCTTATTTCAAATCTGCCTCTAAACTATCAGCTTATCAATAAAAGTCAGTTGGCCAAATGCCTAAGAAAGTTATCTTTAAGAAGAAAAATGGCATGTTAGCATGCTGATTGTAGCATTCAGCAAAGTCCATGTCAAATTTGGACAGTTCTGTTCATGGTTGTCACCCTTTTTAGCCATGCTAGGGGCATGGCTATACAGATGGCAATTTCAGCAGGTGGGCCCACCAATATCTCAACAACGAATGGATGGATTGCTGTGAAATCTTGTACAGCAATTCATGGTGCCCATAATGACTTTGGTGAACCCCTGACCTTTCCTCTGGCGCCACCAGCAGGTTAAAATGTTATTCAATGAAATATCTCAACAGCTACAAGGATTGGCACCATCTGCATGTTTGGATTGTCATTGCAGGAGCATGTTAGCATGCTAAGATAACATGCTAGGATTTAGCTCAAAACACAGCTGAGCCAAAATACAGCCCACTAGAGCCGCTAGCATGGCCATAAAGTCTAGTTTTCTGTTTGTTTTAGAGTTAGGCTCATTTACATTATCCCATAGCATTAGCCCATTTATTTTTCTAGTCTCAACACTCGTGATCCATTTATGATTATGATTAATATCAAAGCAATCTAGCAGGGTAAAGCAGCGCTCTTCTAAACTTCGGTTCTGCAGTTCAAGGCATTGACCAGGGGGATAGATTATAAGGTGTGAAGAAAAAGGCAGACATCTCAGATGTTCCCTTTGTAGATCACAGGCTAAATTTGTTTTTTCTCTCCAATTAATTTGGAGGAAGTGATAAGAAGAGGCAAGAAATCAATACAAGCCTAAGCAACGGAGAAAAATGGAATGAGATCCGTCAGAGGGAACCTTATCTGCGATCTGTTCCCACGCCTTGATTAAGAACCCTTTCCTTGAAATAAGGCGAGTTAGACTCATTTTTTCATTCATTTATTCACAGATTGGAAAACAACCCTAAAATAACACTCTTTTATGATTTGGTCCCTCAGGGCTCAATAGATTTGGACAAAAAGCAAAGTAGTTAAGAAAGCTTGGTTTTTTTTTCTTTGAGAATTTACGCAGTTTACTAACAAGCAAGGAATACAGAAATACTTCTACTTTCAAAGAGATAAATCTCTCAAAATGTCATCAATTACAGCATCCTAGCATAACTCTTAAAAGTGGCTTCCATAAAATACAAAATCTCTATAGTCATACCAATGTTTCCACTTCTGCCTTAAACAAACGAGCATTAACCATGGACTTGATGGTAAGTCTGAGAAAACATGAAGATTTGTCCTAAAATGTTAACTCTCATGCAGACCTACACTCAGCTATGCATCAGTGCATTTGACAGGCTACTGGTTAGTATACAAATATCATTTACCACAGTGTCCCCAGTTATACAGTATCTGTCTAAACCTAAAAAGGACATTGATTTAGTCTAGTTCCCGTGACATTGTGCTTGTATACATAGCAAAGTTGAATCTTTGTACAAATGTACGGATTTGAAATCAACCCTTATGGCATTTTCTTTCAATTGTTGAGGTTGCGGTACTGTCGTCATCTCATACTGAATCATCTCTAAGATATTTTAGCTTTTGATCTGTGGTAAATGCAGTGGCCTCCCCTTTTTCCAGAGTTGTCAGAATTTGTTGAGTAATTACTATCGTCAGGGACGCAGCAGTTCCATCCTAACGGAGAGGGAGATTTTATTCCCTGCTGATTAAAGCCGTCATAAAAAGGATGTCATTTGATTTCACAAAATTGTGCCAGAGCACATTGTGTTTATCCATGGTGAAATAATGGTTGAGTGTGTGTGTGAGTCGGGGCCTACATGAAAGAAGAGTGCAAATAAATCACTACCCTCTCTACTCCTTATTTGAGTTCACCTCCTTTCATCTCGGTCATTGCTCTCCTAATGAGGAACGCAGCTTCTGCCTCAGAGTCCACTTAGCCACAAAAGGAGACTCCCGTCACGCAGCGACGAAAGATATTATCTGGGCAAGCTGGAAAGGAGCATCATCATCACACCCAAACAAAGAGAAGGGGGGATAATGTTTTTTCCGCTGATTTCCTATTCAGTCCGTTCAATTTACTGCCCGGTAACAACCTCAAAGAATGAAGAAAGAGAGCTGGGATGAAAGGTGGAAATCCTTCTCTTGTTGCATTAATATTCAACATCATCTTCTGCAGTGGCTCCCCTCACTGCATGTGGGAGAGTCGGAAACCCCAACAGCCCCTCTGAGAATGAGATTTTATGAGTGAAACTGGGTTACAATCAACCTGCTGCTACTGCTCGGGAAGTTAAAGCAGAGATCTGTGAGAAAAACTGTATTTTCAACATAATCTTCTGTTGGGGTTTCATTTGAACGGCAATACTGGTTTGTTTTAATCACACAGAGGAAGCCAAGTAAGGGAAAAAAATTCAGTGGACTACAAATAACACCTTTGTTCAGTCTGGCTTTATAAGCTGTCAGGAAGTGAATCCCCATCCCCAGAGGGAGGCGTCTACTGCACTGTCAAATTTCTCAGGAGAAGAGTAGGAAGAGGAGGGGAAAACAAGAATGTCAGATGCAGACAAAAAAAAGCCTGTTCTGTGAGCCCCATGCACAAGAAAGCATGCCTTTCTTATAAATTCAATAAACACGAAACGTCTGTAAGGAAAGCCATCTTGTCTAATAGTTTAAATGTAACTGCCCACCTCGTGGCTGTAAACCTGTGCACAATAATTGGTTCTCCCTGTTAGGACACAGGGCATGATTCATGATCAGTGATTCTCAGTGTAAGAGCTTATGGAGTTGTAAATTACTGTGATTGATTAGGAGTCATAATACCAGAGCGATAGTGGCCGTCCGGTTTGCTAGTTTTGTCTGTTTACGCCAAACCTGTCCTCTTCACACCCGCCACACTGTCAGTTTCACATAGTCATTTAAGCAATGCAGACGTACAAACACAGTTGTCACATAGATGAGAAGCATTTTCAGTCACAAACCACAAACATGACCAGTCAGATCTAAACCAGTGGTTCCCAACCTTTTTGGCTTATGGTCGCTTAAAATCAAGCGCTGACTAAATGTCTAAAATGGCAACAACAAGCACAGATGAGATTGACGTAGCTGTACAGGTTGTCGACTTATTGAAATAACAACTCTTATACTGAATATTGACATATTTTATCAATTGATGTTAAAATATGTTTACTTCTCCTAGCAATCGCTATCATAGCTTCCAGGTTGATTGAAAATGACGTTAGCAGGTTATGTCCGTCACTACTGATCGCTTAGGACAAAACCAAACAAACTAAAAACAACCCTTTTTTATTACTCCAATTATCTCAGACTTCTCTTGAGTAGGTTGGGAACTAAATACTGATCTAAATAACCAGTGTGAACAAAAGTATGCCTTATATAACTGGTTAATTATGGTATTCTAAATTTTTAGCTCATGAATAGTGATGCAACCACTCATTTTCCTCTAATGCATGATCACGCATTAGCAGGGTAACTGTCTTTAACCTTCTACTTGTCTAATAGCAACTTGTCTAATAGCACCTGGTTTCACAGTGGATCAATGAGTGTGGAGGCCATACTGGTCCTCAGCTTCACTTATTCATACTGGAGAGCAGAGACAGGAATGACAACAGTAGAGACTGACAGAGACACACAGAAACAATTAATGAGGAAACAATTATTACTAAAAGCATATGATTTTTTTAAAAGTTAGCTCTGTTCATCTATTATTTTGAATTGTATCTTTCTTCCTCAATGAATGAATGTAAAATGGCAACATTGAACAGCTTTGTGATGTTAACAGGCATGAAGAGAGACGGGATGCATTTTTAGTGCATCAGCTGTATCTAAGATGATCTAGGAATAAGTGTTTAATTATCGATTGATATAAAGCATACTTTCAATTGTGTGTTTATGGGACTGGATCACACCATTCAAGCTGTTTACAGTGAGACATTTAAACTGAGGCAAGACAAATCAAACTGAAAGAAAAGTGTGTATCAGCAGGAGTGAGGTTGACGAGGAGGACAACTGGAGCCCTGCTACACTGGGCTGTGGTCCGGAGAAGCGTGTGTGGCCGTCACCATCACACACTCAGTGGCTGTGTCCTTGGTCCTGCGAAGGCCCATGTAAAGCCTCTCATCCAGGTTAGCAGTCAGTTTGTCTGTGAGCTCCGCTGTGATGGTCTGTGGGCCGTAGCCTGCAGAGTCGGGAAGCTGAGGGGGTGAGCGCTCATCCGGGGGCTCTGGAGGGAGTCCAAATTGTTTGCTGTCGTCCTGAGGGTCATGGTGCTCACCCAGCTCCCTGTCTATCTCTGAGACGGAGGGATCAACAGGTGGTGGGGGAGAGGTGGTGTGCTCCTTAGTGTCTCTGACAGTTACAGCCTGCTCCCTGTCCGTTCCCCCATTCTCAGTCATCGTAGGCTCTACCTTTGGAGTGTCGGGAGTGCTGCCGGCCCCATCGCAAGTCTCCTCATCAGGAGCGCTGACGATGCGGGGGAGCGTGCTGTGGTAGCTTGTGTCCAGTGGATAGTTCACACTGTCACCCCTCCGTAGTGGTGTCCGCTGTCTGTCAAAAGAGGACTGGAAGTGTCTAACACCAGGGTCACTCCATTGCTTGTGGCGCTGCCACTGCTTGCGGAGGTGGATTCGGGACCGGTGCTTCTTTAGCGGCGACTCCTGCTGGTCAAACTGAGGGTCGTGGCGAAGAAACTCATGGAAGAGGGTGTCCGTCTTCTCATCTATGCTGTAGTCTCGCCGGTGGAGCATGGGCGGTTGTGGTGAAGGCTGTGCAGCCTCTCGAGGCGTGAGCATCTGACCGTATGGGAACCAGCTCAGTGAACCAGCACCTGTTTCTGTGGAAACTCCACCAATGGCACCCAACAATAACTCTTCCTCCGGCTCCTCCTCAAAGAGATGAGACTCAAAGCTCTCACCGATAGTGCCAGATCGCCCTGCATTGGTAAAGTGGTGCCTTTTCTCGTGTGCTGTTCTGTCCTTAGGACTGCTGCTGATGCTCCCAAACAGTCGCAGGTCTTCTGGACCACGAGATGGAGCCTCTATCGACGCATAGCCACTGTCCATCTGCAGCAATTTACGAGTCCCCGTTTCTCCATCACTGCCCCCTCGTTCTGATTCTGTGCTTTCCTGTTTCCTCTTTTTCCCCTCCTTCACCCCCAAGCTCTCATCCACATACATCAAAATGTCCTTGTCATCCTCTCCACCCTCTGCCTCATCCCCTAAATCTTGGGACGGGCAGCTGGGGAGCCCTCCTCTTTCTGTCTCCGTGCGTCCGCCCAGCGAACACACACTGTCAGCATCACTACAGACGGAGTTCCTATCATTGTTGCTGCTCTGGTCAGACGCGGCATACTGTTCCAGTGTCGCACGTAGGGTCCAGATGTCTTTGTAAAGTGACTGGGGATCCTGGAGATCTAGGGGTTCCAATGGGTCTACACCTTCCCGTCTTGCCAATGACAGTGCTTCATCTTGGGGATCAGGGGATAAGCCAATCACCCCTGGTCCTCCATGGCTGTAGCTGGGCTCCACCATCACCTCTACCTCTACCCTGTAGTGTGCACACAGGTGTGGAGAGAAGGAAGGGGAGAAACACACACACGCACAAATACACACACACAAAACAAGTGTCAGTGTCAGAGCATTTACCCAAATAACACTCTCATCTGAGACATGGCTGTGTTCACAGTGCACAGAATGATTTTCATGACTTGCAATGGCTGCTGTTGCATGTCCTTAAACTGAACTTAGCTGAACACTGATACCATGTGTGCTTTCACCTTGGGAGAGCAAATTTAAAGACTCTGTACTGTATGAAACATAACTTGAGTGATATCTCTAGCAATGAACTGTAAATGGGCACGAGGATCATCAAATTTCTGAACTCACGACAGCTTCCAGGACATTCCTTTTTCAACAACAAACATCTGCAAACATACACAGGAAATACTGTTTAATCTAATATTCAGCAAATGAAAATAAATAGCTATGTAAGAAAATACTTAGGGAGATTGGTTATTTTTGTTGTACAACCTAATACTGGGCAAAATCTGCATTGCTATAAATGAGAACTTAAAATAACAAAATTGCAGTGACCCTTGCTCTTTTTTGGACATCATGACATTATCAGACCATGTCAGCGATGGAATGGTTTCCTATGCCAGATATAAACCCTGCGTCCCAATTCTACACTCCTCTCTCCTAAATAAATGTGCACTCTGGGAATCCCCTACATCTGGTTTCAAACCATGAAATTGGTTTTGAAAGAACGCTTGTTTATCTGGAGCTAATTAAAGTAGAAATCAGACTGTGGTTATATAGTATTTACAGTTACATAGCATGGTGTAGTTCCGATATTTAATCCATTTAAATGTCACAGCATAACAGTCGGCAATTGACAAGAGGACAGTTTTCAAACATGATTTTCAAATAAATCCTAATGACTTACAGTTGATACTGACATTTTCCATTTGATTTTCCTGTATTCCTGCTCATCTGGCATGTTAAAACAATTGCAATGGTCTTTCACACAGTTCATAAAAGCACACAGGCAAAGTGGTGAAGAATTGGGACTTAGAGCCGTATCTGGCTGTATATCATTACCGTGCATTTTCTAGCTATAATAGTAAAGAAATGAGTGCGAGGCAGCAAAGCAGTGAACAGGATGAATGGCAAGGGAATTAAAGATACCTGCCGAGGGAGGGGGGTGGTGTGGAAGGAGGTGAGAGGAGGCGAGTAGTAGGCTGGGTGGGGCAGTAGGTGACGTCCTGGGTGCGGGCGATGTACTGAATGAGGTCTATGCGGTGCGAGTCGTTGTCGTCCTGCTGGTCCATGCTCTCGCTGGCGGCTCTCTGGCGCTGGAACTGTCTCCTCTTTGGAGAGCCTGTTTCACACCAAATATGGGGAAAGAGCAGTGAGTTGTGCGAGTTGTGTAACAGCAGGCAGTAGTGAAATAACACTTAATTCAGGAGAAAGCTTTCATCAACTGTTGAGATTTCTGGGGGGGAATTTTGGGATCTTTTTTTGGACCTTTGATACGATAGAAGGACTGAGCCTGGGGAATGGCAGAGTGGAGTGTGTGTATATAGGAAGAAGGGGATAGGCAGGAGGGATTTACTCAGGGGCTCAAATTGACTTGGAACGACCAAACCTAACGTCACTGAGCCATCTGTCTTGTACGTGTGTTAGTCTGTGTGTATATCCGACTCTTAGCAGGCAAAACGCATCTCACAGTTGGTTGCTGGAGCCCCCTGCTTAACCACTGTCTGTTTTCCACGAGGGAATATCGCCAGATATACTTAAAACATAAATAAATAGAGAAAATACACCGTAAAAAGAAACTGCTAACAGTGAAACTTTGATTTTAACAAAGAACCAGAAAGAATTTTTGCACTCGCCTGCTCCATTGGCACAGATTGTTTCTAAAAATCTACTCTAACAGAATGATCAAGAATCAAAGATCTAGGGCTGAAATGACTCATCGATTAATTCTTTGCATCGATGCTTCGTTTAATCCATATAACTATATAGCGCACTGTTTTGCATGGACATTTATTACTGTTGCACATCGCACTTACGCTGTGTGAACACGATGTGATTATGATGCCGCTGTTTGCAATGTGGAGGAAGAGAGAGAAAATAGCGAGGGACGAAGAAGTAAGTGTCCAAAGTATGGGATTATTTCAAGCTAAAAGAAAACAACAACTCTGTAATGTTACAGTCTGTCCAGGTGCTGTGCTGCTCCGCCGCCAAGCAAAAGTATTTCTTAAACGATGCATCAATGAAATAATCTGTAGAAGCTTTGAGTACTAAAATCATCGATAGCTGCAGCCCTACAAAGATCCATTACCTCTGGTGTCCAGACTTGAGGCTCTCTGGCTTCTGTCCAGCTTCCATTTCTTGATCTTGAAGTAGGGACTGGCCCCCTCCAGACTAGCATGGCGTCGCAGTTTAGTGAAGAACTGCAGCACAGGACCCTGGCTTCCTGCAACCCCGCCTGCAGGAAGGGCACCGCTCCCCGCTGTGGCCCCCTCTCCGACACTGACACTGCTGCCTCTGCCCCGGGGCCCTGCTCCAATCATCTCAATCTAAGCAGAGAGAGAAATGTGGTCAGAAAGAAAACCTGCCAAGACTAGCGATGTGCGCATAATCCCTTCTGACAGTGATGTTCCACACAGGCTTCCTTGTTTACCCATCAACCATCACTCTTGTTGGTCCTCCCTCAGACTCCATGGCCTTCTAATGTCCGTATGGATGACTCACTGGTTGACTGGCTAGCTCAATAGCTGGTGGGTGTACTGAGTGACTTAAGAAAATTCATCACTCAAAATAATAAACTCAACAAACTTGAGCTCTTAGGTGATCTGTATGCACAGTAGTTGCAAGATATTTACACAGTGTGACATGTGTCAAACTCAGGAATTTCATCATCATTTGTTAGTTATGACTTGATGTGAAATATTTTGTATTTTACATTGGTTGGAGGTAACTTACAGAGCTTGGCTCTTTAGTGCTGAGTGGAATAGTGTTCTCACTAAAGCTGGTGTCCACCACAGAGTTGAGAGCATCTCCAGGGAGGGCACAGCTGGGACTGATACTCAGGCTGGTCAACGCTGTTTGTGGTAGGGGGCACAGCATCGGCTGCAGGGAAGTGCACATACACAACAGATTCCACTTTTATGTCTTTTGAATCAATTGCTAAACATGCATGTTTTCTGCAATGCTTTGTTGATTAATCCATGTATTAAGAATCATACCACTACAGAAAGTAACTAAGTAATGTAGCTCCACTTCCAAAGTTAGACTTATCTATGAATATCTAATCTATGAATACAAATCAAGTCCAGATTCCCTCTCCAGCCGTCATCCCAGTACAAGTGATTGAACATCTAAAAAGGAAATCAATGTGCACAGCCTGTTGAAATGAGCAGGCAGAGAGATCCCTGATTCACGTGTTTGGATACATTAATGTTACATTTTCTTGTACTGAATCAAGTGACTGACCCCCCCCCAGGTCAAAGGACGTCAATCACCTGGAAGATGGAAAGTGCCGACTTTGTGACAGGGCGCGTTGTCATGGTGATGCTGTTTTCAGCCGAGTCGCACTCGTGGATAGTGACTATCTTGAGGGCAGGGGGAGGGATGTGGAGGTGTGTGAGCCGGGCGTTCTTCAGGTGGTGAAAGTCACCCTCGGTCAGAGTGTACCTGGGGAGAACAACATAGAGTTAAAGAAAAAGCTATAAAACCCTGGCAAGATGAGACATGAGTTGCATACACTCTCGATAAGTTATAAGATGATCCTTGCACAAAAGACAAAAAGCCAAGGGGAAATGTCTGACTTCAAACCCATCAGTGCTACTCTGCATTTAGTTCCACAGAATAATTCCTTTTGAAGAATTTGCATATCAGGCTCAAGGCTTCAAGAGAAATGTAGGGCAGGGAAATAATGAGAAAGGGTGAGAGCTCTTTGTGTCCACAGCATACATAATGCATTCCAAAATGGATTCTTAACCCTAAACTAACATTGAAGTGAGATGGACACAGTAAAATGTGTACATCCTTTGATCTCAGAAAGCGGTAAAGCTAGCTGGAGTTTATGGACATTAATGCGAGTTGAACACTGAATAAAAAGGCATAGAGAGTTGCAAATGTGGGCTTGTGTTGGCATTCTGACCTGCGGCCCTTCTCCTGCGCCTTCTTTCCATGATCGAAAAGCGCAGCCTCATTGAAGGAGACACGGCGGCCTGTGGTGCCCGTGGAGAGGAAGCGCTCAGTCTCTTGGTTGTGAGAGCTGCCCATTGACAGACAGTCTGACTCATCCACCCTGATGGTGATTTCTGCCAGAGACACAAGAGGAAAGAGGCAGAGGAGGCGCACAGGGAGGTAGATGGATAGGTGAAGGATGAGCGAGGGGGGATGGCGAAGAAAGATTTTCATATAAAAGAGTGTTCATATAAAATCACTGATCAGCTGCAGTGTGGCTCTAGGGATGTTAATGCCAATTAGCAAGAGTTAGCATGCAAAACTAAGATGGTGGAGATGGTAAACATCCTACCTGCTAAACATCAGCATGTTAGCATCATCACGGTGAGCATGTTAGCATGCTGGCGTTAGAATTTAGCTCAAAGTACTGCTGTGCACTTTGGTGCATGTAATCGGCGATATTTCATCTAATATATTACCGGACTTCTGTTGTATGTCATTCCCCATCTCTTTCCACTCATCGTCTGTTATCTTTCAACTATCAACTGTATTAAAAGCATATAATAGCCCAAAAATATTTTTTTTTAAATCTGTCCGAAGTCAACCCCTGTCTGCTATACTGTGTATTTACTCTAACTGTGAAATGAAGCATCTTCATCTTTATCATCACCACTGTTTAAGATGAGTATGGTAATATGGCAAACTGCTGACTGAAAAACTAAACAAAAAGCCTTACAAAAGCATTTGTAAAAGCAATTTTCATTTGGAGACAGAGTGCACTGGTCCCCAAATGTCAAAAAGTGTTCCGGGATATGGCACAGCTACTTAAACTAATTGGATCAGGATCACAATATTTTAATGGAACAAGCATTACACATTTGTGCTGACATGATAAAAATATCCCTGCTTCCATCAATCCAATACCTCCATCACCCAGCCTGCATGTCTCCATTACTTCTCCCTCGCTCACTTAGATGCCTCTTTATCTGTCCCCCTCCAACCCCTACATTTCTTCCTCTTTGTGCATTTTTCTCTTACCATGGGTGGGCTGAGACTCCTCCATGTAGGTGGTGTTGTTTTTTTCAGGATCATCGCTGGTCATGGGGCACACAGAAACATTCAGATCATTGCTGTGACATGATTACCCCTGAGGTCTGTCTTTCATCTGTAGAACCCTACTGATGCGGGCAGCCACACGGGAGACCACAGTGCAAAGCTTTATGATCAACTGGGTTACTATTTGACATTTCTGTGTGGCGTGAGTTTAAATACACATACAGGTCAACGGTTTAAAAAGGCAGCTACAGTATACAACAAATATATGGACAAGGCCCTAGGACTGAATGTTTATCTAAATGGCTGTTTAATCAATGAGGGCCTAAATCATTGCCAATAACTTGATAACCTTCAGGGCCAGGGGACCTCTTGGACTTGAAGCATGGTGCTTTATTGGATCTACATTTTCACTCAAGGGAACAGAGAAATTACACAATGAAGGTCATGTTGTTTAGAGGATGGGTTGTATATTATTCTTTTGGTATATTTTGTCTTAAAACCTTTGCTTTTAAACATCTTCAGTTGCCGCACAAGCTTATTAAACCCCACAGTTTTTATGAGGCAGAAAAAAAGAAGCTGAAAGCTCTTCCCAGTCATTTCTCTCCCTCTGATTCTTTTGTGCAGACCTATGAGTGAGCATGTGTGTCATTATATGTGTGTGTGTGAAGTGACTTGAGGGATTTCTCCCTCCACCTAGATCTGTGCTACTTCTTGTCTTTCATTTCCTCTATAGCTCCCTCTTCCCTGTACTGTGTGTGTGTGTGTGTGTGTGTGTGTGTGTGTGTGTGTGTGTGTGAGTGCACGTGGGGCTGGGTTGAGACGCAAGATTAATCACTGCCAATGGCTGCTATGAAATCTCATTACGCTCATCATTTGTACCAGTCCACCCGATTCTCCACTGCTCTCCCCCGACAAGCCTCTCCTTTTCATGGCTCAGCCTCTATGCTCTCTATTTATCTGCATCTAGCTGGTGCGCTCTCATATATTCAAGTGTACTCGATGATGCGCGCTGATGTAGAGAGGGACAAAGCGTCTGGAGGGTAGCCATGTTACTGCTGAATAAACAGGGATGACAGGGAATCATACTGGGATTGGGATTCACTGGGTGGAGCAAACTGGATGGTTCCACGGGAAGTAGTTAGCTTCATTTGAAATTGCAATGAGCTTTATCTATAACGTAAGTATACACAATCAACTTAAGTACCAGGCTGTCTGTAAACAGTGGTTGCGTGTAAACTCTGGAGGAGTAGTCTCTGTCTGTCAACAAACTGTGTGTACTCATGTGTGCATACTTGTGCTTTCATGCACAGTATAAACACCACCTGTGCACCTGCATCTGCAGACTAAACTACCTTTGTGAAGCAAATAATCTTCAGCTTCTAAAGACCCTGCACAGGAGTGGCGTTGTTTTAAGTTTGGGGGAATCATTTCAAGGTTGTAAGGTTTGGTGTTATTGTGTTAGACTGCATCTCTATATATACACACAGACACAATATATAGCCTCAAAATCAGCATCCACTCCATAAAGTGATTTATTGAAGTGTTCTTGTTATTAAATTATGTAGCCACAAATTTTTTAAGGTCCACCCCTTATATAGGTCCATCCTGTTGGTTCCTTACAATGTTCTGGAGGTTGACCTTACACTGCTAAACTCTTCAAAAGCCGCTTTGGATGATGGTGTGTCACATGAAGTGTTAAAATCCTAAATGTAATGTAGAATTTTTGCATCGTACCTGGCACAGAATTTCCCCCTTCGACAACAGCAGTGGTAGGCGAAGAGGAGGAGAGAGATGAAGATCAGCGTTCCTACCAGGAAAATGGAGAGGATCACCCGGAGGAGCACATAGCCATCTTGTTGCCCCTTAGCCTCGAATGGGATCTCCTGAAATACACAGAGGAAGGACAAGACAAATTAGATGGATGGATGTCCATTCTTGACTCTTTTCTGAAAGCCTCAATTTTTAATTTTGACACTTTAGTCTTGCTACTTAGCCCATTAATGAATGATGGACAGATGTATTTCAGTTCAGATCCAGTCCAGAAGAGAAATCAGAATCAGAAGGAGCTTTATTGCCAAGTAGTGTTTTACACATATGAGGAATTTGCTGTGGTGATAAGGTGCTACACGTAGACAAACGTACAGTCAACATAAATAAATGCAGAAATATATAAATATGGAATAGAAGAACAACGTTGCAGATATATATACGTGTGCATTATTCTGGGTCTGTGCCGTGCAGAAGTAACGCAACGGAAGAGAATAATGTGTACATATAAATATATAAACTGACAACATAAAAATATACAACAACAGAGATCAACAATCAACAACAAATATGTGCGACGTGCCAGGTCTGTGCACGACACTAGACAACACGAAATTCCATCCTAACAGAATTACTGCAGATTTGCGTACCTTACTGTGCAGCTGTTTTACCTTCCCAGTAACACCACTTAAACGATTGATTAAGCCACACTAGTTGGTGGGCCTGCATAAAGTAAATCTATAAATGCTACGGTATATTGATCAATAAATGCCAGGGTTGTTAACCTGTCTACAGTGTATCTTACAGTGGGAAAGCTCCTGCAGCGAGGACTGCAGCTGAGTGAATTAACCACACAAGGAGTACTGGTAAAGACTCTACGGTTCCACAGGTCCACTCGCTTGGTTTTGTGTGGATAAACAGCAAAAGGAGACATCTTGAATCTCTCCCTCTTCATTTGATTAGAAAAACTTTATTCAATCCGCCCCATTCAATCCGGCAGATGGAAAGCTATGACTGTCTTTCGTCTGCATGTGCATATTTTTGTTGACATTATTCTGCATATTTATTACTTTGAGTCTATAATTATTCCCTAAGCAATTCAAGATCCAGCTGTTAGCTAGGACTCTCGCTATTAGCAGGGAATGACATTTCATTGTGGAAAAACTAACTTGATTCATTAGAAAATAAACCAGCAAAAAACTAAATGATTAAAATGGTCAAATCAAATCTGAAAACAACAAAGAAATAATACATTTATAATATATATATATATATATATATATATATATATATTTTAGTTTCTCAGCAATTATTTTTATTTAAATACATTTATTTTCCCTTAGCTGTATAAGTACTGTATAATTAATTTGCCCATTTCTTAGATTTATTTCTGTATTTCCTTTGTTTTTAATTTTTTTTCCCCATCAAACAATATGTTAAATTTTGCTTATTTGTCCCATTTTACTTGCAATAATGTGTTATCCTTGTAAATTGTCTTTGTAGGCTACAGAACAGGAATTGAAAGGGTTTAAATAAAACGATAGATGGCAACATGAGTGGGAGAGTAGAGAACAACAGCAGGCCTTGTTCTTTTATGGAGTATCAGAGTGACATGACAACCACTCATCTTATGTAAAGACGTTATAGGTGGTGTGTTATGCTGGACTCTATAAGGGAGAACGCACAGCAAGTGTTAATGAGCGCTGCGCTCTGACATCAAATTGTAATTTCTCTGCGAGGGGAAATTAAAGTCGAGATTAGATCAAAGATTTAATTATTTCAGGTCCAGGTCAGGATGTTCTCTATTAGCCAGTCAATCGGCCAGAAGAGAATATGAGGGAAAGTACGGCTCTGGTGGTGAGCTGGACACAACACACACACACACACACACACAACCGCACTGGCACACCCACACACAGGAAGTTTGAGAATAAGCCAGTGGCGAAAGACAGACTTACTGTGGAGTTCTCTGGTAGGATGTTCCAGACGGTAGACTCATTGCTCATGGTCCAGGCCAACTAGAGAGTCCCCCTGAGAAATAACACATGCACACACACACAAACACACAGAGGAAATGACTCCCATTACTGCAGCCGTTCCTTAAAACACAAAGTCAACCACCGAAGATACTACATTTTATCTGTGTAATAAATCCAGACATACTGTAAGGTAACCTAAATCAAAACTTCTCTGAACTCATAGAATAAAGAATGTTTTATTGCAGCCCCATTCTCAATGTCTGCTGTCTAATAACATGGCAAATATTTATATAATGTAATAGAAGATGCCCATTGCAGCTGAAAGATCTTTTTGCATCTCTAACAGCCACGGAAGACTGCAAGACGAAGCAGGAACCAAACGTACGTGTGTGCTTGTACGCATGTGGCGGATCCCACAGAAGATGCAAATGATAGCATCTCGGCTGTAAATCATCACCCATAATTCCATATCAGCCTCAGGACTCTATCTACCTCCCTTGCACGTGCGCGCGCACACACACACACACAGAACAGGGAGAAACACCAACTCTTACTGAATAACTGGCTCTAGCAGCTGAGTTCCACTACCGCTGCTGCTATGCGATTGCTCTTACAGATCATAGCCATTAATACTGCTATTGCTGCACCAAACGCCCACACACTCACACACACACCCTGGATGTATCTACTCACCCAGCAGAGCAGGGTGGAAGCAACATGCCAGCAGCACTCAGCACTCCTCGCTTGCCTGCCAGTCACTGCAGCACTGAACTTCAGCACCACAACCTGTAAGCTATACTGCCGAGCTCTTTGCTGCCAGCCTGCCTAACTCCCTGCATCTACCGTCCAAGCATGAAAAACGGTTACGGGAAACACATCAGGCTGTGATCAGATTGCTTTCCTTGGCAGTGCTGTACCACATCCTGCTTTGTACCATGCAGCCCATAGCTTCTTACCCTGATGGAGGGCAGTGCGTAGCAGCAGCTCTGGATGTGTGTGTGTGTCAGGCTGTGGGCTCAGGAGTGTCCTCCTCAGCTCCCCTGCTGCATCCTCAGCCGCCTCAGCCCACCCAGCCGACTGAGCCTGAGCTGCTGTGTTTTCCCCCCTCCTCAGGGCAGCCCCACTGGCCTCGGAGCAACAGGGCGGCAGTGCTGCATGGCTGATAATAAGCGGACGGGTTGGTCAGTTATGCAGTCTTGGGCAGGTGCGTTTCACATTAAACAAGCATTCAGCAGATGCACATCAGAGCACAAAGACAGCCATCCCTCTCTCTAACCAGTTTCTGTAGTGATCATAGCTCAAATTAACAAGTAATGACACCAAACATCAGAACATGTTCTTTGAAGAAAAGCTACAACTACCTCACCATATTCATTAAATGCCATAATACAGTTTGATAACTAGATAGAAATGACAGCTAGTCACTTTGCTTCCCTTCCCCTGATGTTAAGACTAATTAGATGTTAGACGCCCCTGATGTCTTAGTCTAATAAGGAATGTAAATAGAAATATAATATTTATTAAAATTAGGCTATGGCAATTATTTTAGTATAGTACTTTATTGAGAATTGCTTACTTCTATGATGTTGAAAATCTTGAAAATTACTCTATTGATTGGTTGCCTAAGCAGATGGTAAGACACAAATGTCCCAGCAACGGCATATCCCGTCATGCTTTTCAGAATATCGGCTAAATAGCAGCTGCGTTACTGGTATTGCACAGTGTATCGTTTAGCTTTTATATCTCATGTAAATATATATTACCACACTACCTATAATGAGAATTGTAATGGCTCATGATGGACAGTTACAGTTAACCTGTATAAAATGAGAAACTGTTGCACAAAAGAAAGCATCCCGTTTCGTATTGCTCGGTGCTGCAATATGTTTTTCCCCGGAACAAAATAATGAGCAGCTATTTCCTCGCGGAGGTTTAGCTGATAACAGATTTTGCTAGAAAACAACAACAAAAAATCACATCACTTTAGGTGATGAAATGAAGCCGATAGTGAACTTTTAAAAAATGGATGAAAACCAGCTATACTCCGACCATTGCGGCGAGGTTAATAAATATGCCATCTTGATATTTCACAGGCGCCTATGATTTTCATCAGTCCAGTGACACCGACAGGGAAGGTGGATCACGATTTGAGTTGGCTGCACAAACAGACGAGCAGGCATGCGGCAAAGGTAGCACTCACCTACTCAACCAGTCCGGTCCACGAAGGGGTGGAGGGGCGAAGCCAATAACGTGAAACTCATCTGTGGACACTTTAATGTTGATTTTATCGCTAAAAGTATTTATGAATGAAACCCCACTGTTTAAGACACGCCCACCACCCAGTCAGAGACGCACCACGTGACGCAAGGAGTGATGCAAAGCTGAGCGGTTGAGGGGTCTCTCAAAATTAGCCCGGTGCTCAATCAGTCTTCAAAGACGTGTGGGTGCCAGGGAAGCCTGTGTTTCTCAGTGAATGTGAAGCGTATTTTCGTCTTTTTAAATAAGCATCTTGACACTTTTTGTGTACTTTACTTCTTTTATTGATTTATTTGACATTGGCTATATTCAGTTACTCGCTTGCAGGCGTGGGGAAATTGGTGAAACGAGTTTGTTAGTTTGTATGTGGCTCTGTGTGTGTGTGTGTGTGTGTTGGTGTGTGGACCTTTTTTATACACTGTATGGTGGGCGCCAGCCTTGTGGAGGTAGCATACAACACATGGTTTTGGCGCCATCTACTGGTGGTATGTGCTCAGAAGCACAAGGAAAATGTTGGAAATAAAAGTTTTGCTAAATGGGTTACTCTTACCTAAATAGTGGCGTTATTATAGTGTTCTCTAACCGTTTGCCTATGTAAACACTGCAAGAATGAAAGCTGAAAGGTATTCCCAACTCAGTAGCTGAAACAGACATTGTTTCGCTGTGTCTGAAGCTACATTTCTTTGACTATAAAATTATAACTGTTACTTGGGTTTAATATGTTGCTAACACGATGGTAAATGACCGACTAAATTCACAATAGATCCACAATAAACACCCGTGAATTAACTGTACTGTATGTTGACTGTGCGACTCTTTTTATAAATTAAAAATAAATAAATAAGAAAATTTAAAAAAGAGAGAGAGACTACATTACCCATCAAACTTTGCTCCACCGCAAAGCCTCCTGGGTAGGTTACTAACGTCCTTGTCCTACCAAGCGCACACCGTCTGCCTTCACCCAAGGGCTTGGGGATCCCTGTCATTCGCTTGTACTTGAATAAAATCTGATTTTCAGTCATGATGGCAGCAAAATTTCTCCGTCGTGCTCTTCCTGTGCTGAGGCACGCTCGCTCATACGCCGAAGCCGTCACCGGTGCCCCGCAGATGTCCTTCACTTTCGCTTCCCCGACACAGGTAACTTAGCTAGCTAACGTTAATGTTATTGGCGAGGCTTCTCGGGCCTAGCTAGCTCTACGGCTAACTTGGTCGCTCATTGAACTGCACCGTGTCAGTGTGCAGAGTAGCCAGCCTCCGGAGTCAGTTAGCAGTTTTGTACTTTTGCATGGTTTTGTTGTCATTGCTGCACATAACATTGTAGTTAATGCACGCGTTTAACGTTAGTTCAGATAGAGCGTTGATGTTAAAGCTTGCACTGTCAGTAAGAGATTTAGCTGAACTTGCTAGCGAGAGCCAACCCGAGGTGTCGACCGTATGACATGATGTAATTTTGCCAAACGGGACCACTTAAGCATTGCTCTTGTTTCAGTTCAGTAACTTAAAATGCATCTTATGTACCTATGTTTCCAAATGTGTTGTTAGCTTAAGTTTAAATCCACCGTGAAGCCGGCAGTGGGTTAAACGCAGAGCTCTCTAACGGTAACCTTGAGGTTCATGTCAGTGATAAAATCAGTCCATTGTACCTCCCGATTTAAGAGTGTAGTTTCACTCAGTGCTGCACCTTTACCTCGCATTCTGCTGCAGAACGGGTATTCAATATTAAATGTATACGTTTACAACAAAAACGTAAGCATCCTGTTGCATAAAAATTAAACCAGAATGATGACAGAAAACATTGTAATGGATATCGACAGTCGTGTTTTATTCTAAATTCTGACATTTACAGTGATTATTCGTTGATATGTTGAGCTGTTGGAGTGCAGGCACAGCTAGTGAATGCATCTGCCTATCCACTGTCTCAACTCTCCAGGTGTTTTTCAAAGAGGCCAGTGTGAAACAGGTTGACGTGCCCACACTCACTGGTGCGTTCGGTATCCTTCCTGCCCACGTACCCACTCTGCAGGTGCTCAGGCCCGGTATTGTCACAGTCATCGGTGACGATGGCTCCTCTGTCAAATATTTTGGTAAGATTTTGCATTACAAAAACAAACATAAATGACTGAGGTCAGACCTCGACTTTATTTTCCTAAGTCTAAAACCACCAAATAGTGGCATTTCTGTTTAGGCAAATAATCAAGGCAAATGTCAATATCTGCCTAGTCATTAAAGATGTTAGAGATATTGGTCTAAGTCAAGAGAAGCTGGTGTGTATCTTGTGCGCCACTTTCAGGCTAGCCCCTACGTCTTAAATAATTGATTTTTCAGAAAAGCTGAAACATGATAAATGATATTCATTCCATATGCCAAGTCATTCACAGTTTCTTTTGCCAGTAAATAGCTCTGCTGTGTGTCTAAAACTCATGGAAGCTGTAGAAAAATTATGCAAATTTATAATATTTATCTTTGTAAAAATGTTATGTTCCTAGTTTTTCTTTTCAAACGCATTCAATAAAAGATGCCTATTAAGTTTGGAATGCAGCCCGAATACCCAGGTATCATGTTTCAGCTCTAAACACTGATGATAGAAAACCATCGGTGAGAAAATACACTGTGGAACATAAGCTAGCCTGGGAGTGAGGAAGTATGTCCTGCCTCTATAATGTATATTGGTTTAATAAACACTATGAAGATGACTGTATGTTGGCAATATTAATTACACTGTGTCTGTGTGCACGCAGTGAGCAGTGGGTCAGTAACAGTCAACGCTGATTCTTCAGTGCAACTGCTGGCTGAGGAGGCTGTTCCTTTGGAGCAGCTGGACATCGCTGTGAGTATAATGGAAACATCACTCCTCCTTCATACATACTAGAGCAGCATCTGCACTAATGCTGGGCAGTATGACCAGATATATCATGAGATGATAAAACTTGTATTTTATAATACAGCTCATACCAACCCTTTAATATCTCTGGGTGTATTAACCCTTTACAGGAAACAAATCAATGAACAGAACTGCTTTTTCGCAATATTGGAATTTACAGGATTGTTGAATGAATGTGATGGTACTGTCGATTTGCCAGATATGTTATTCAATACATTCAACGTCTCCAGTCAAACCAGTATGTCATTCGATACTTTTTGTAACCAGCTCGCGGCAAAAATGACTATTTGTCTGGTTTTGCTTGCAGCCAAACACACAAGCAACACACCGGAAAGAAAGAGAAGGGCATTCTTCTTTTTGCTTATGTGCCTGCATGCACCTAGTCCATGCATGATTTTAACAGCCCCTCACCCTTTGGCTGCCATCTCAGGCATGGTTGTCTCTGTTGCAATTTTATCACTTCAAGCTTGTCTTTCTGTTGGTTTCATCTTCTGGAGTCATTTAACACTACTCTGTACATTTAGATCACTGCGTTCCATCAGATCAATTCAGCGCTTTTGTGGCACAGCAGCGATCAGCTGATTTTAGTCATGGAGCCTCTGGCTGCGGCTGATATCAGAAGTAGCTGGTGTGATCGGCTGGATGTGCAGCCTCTCTTTCCCTCTGCTTGCTTCTTTAGTGTAGTTTAGTGACTTGTTTAGTCGACTACTTACTCGTTAATCTTGAGAAGCTGCAGAACTGCAGTCTCTTTTCATTCAACTTACACTTTAAATTTCCAGCTAAACTGAGGCTTTTTGAAGACCCTTTTCTCTCTCTCTCTCGCCTGTCATTCACCGGTCTCGTGAGTTTTGCGTGCATGTTGTGCTGCCGACAACTACATGCACGTCACGGTTCCTTGCGGGTCTATCTATAAACGATAAAATATTCTTTGTGTGGTCATCAATGGTGATAAATTATACAAAAGTCCTACAAGGTGCAACAACTCGGCACAACACCAGTGAAGCCACAGTCTCTTCAGCAAGTGTTCCTCTTCCGCCACTGCACACACACGCTACGCCTACACATGTGCACTGGGTTACAATTTTGGATTTATTTACACACTTTTAAAAACATGTATTGAAAGTTTTATTCTTTTTTTCATGTTTATTTGCAGCATTAAATGTTAATGTATATTGTAATAGGCTGTATATTAACGTATTGGGAGAAAACTGGTAGTTCTATGTAAAATCAGACGTTGAACACCCCCATATCGCCAAAATGGCATGATCCTTGTTACGCTGCAAAGCTTCGACTGTCAATCTCACAGTCCGCCCATCAAAGCATCGAATCTTCAACTATTGGGGGTCAGCCCTACTTGCCATTAATGGTTTTAGATTAGATGTGATGTTATTTAGGATGATATATCGGCCTCGTGAGTGCTGGTATCGGTCGATGCAGATTATCTCAAGATGCCAGATTTAGAAGATTAATCAGTTTATCCGTCACTACTGCTGAATGTGTTTGCTTTTTGTGTAGCCTGCATTGATCCACCAATGAGGACCTTTTATTGAGCTGAGACTACATCTTTATTTTATTTTTTAAAGATTACAGCTAATGAAACGTTTAATTGAAAATGTCATGATAAAGGTTTTGCATTTTGGGGGGGTGGTAGGGGGAGGCGTTAGTTCCCATGCAGTCTGGTAAAATTCCATGAAAATGGTCTTTTGCAACACATTTGGGAAATACTAACACATTTGGATTATCCCTTAAGACAATTGTGTGCTGTGTAGGTAAAGGTAAATCATCCAAACAGGGAAATGTAATTGCCTCCCCAATCCCCACCCCGGTATTTACTTTTAATGATCTGAACTAATATTGGTATTTATCTCCTTACTGTAAGCCGTGTCATGGGCAATAATGATTTAATCCTACATATATATATATTTTTTTTAATGGGGAACCCATAAATGCCAGGGATCAATATGTGTGGCATTTAATGAGCAGGGACACAGCCTTTGAGGACTGAGATTCAGAATATCACAACGCAAGGAAGGCTTTCTTAATATTTATGCTATTAGGGAAGTTTTATGAACTTTTTTATTTCCTTTGGTCTATTGCATTTAAATTGTAGAGCTTTGATAAGTTGTGTACAGAGGCTGTTTTTCCCCCACATTAGTTCTATTTAAAAAAAATAGACTTTAAATTGCTCTTATGCTGGCCATACACTAGAGGATA